CATTTCGCACACAAGTGTGCTACACTTAAAAGTTTAGAGTTCAGGATTTAGGGTTTAGAGTTTAGGGTTTAGGAGTCTAGAGTTTATAGTTTCGGGTTTAGAAGTTAAAAGTTTAGATTTTAGAGTTTAGGGTTTATACAGTTTAGGGTTTAGGGGTTTAGAGTTTTGGGGTTTAGGGGTTCAAAGAAGAGGGTTTAGAGGGTTAGAGTTTAGAGTGTAGGGTTTAGGGGTTTAAAGTTTAGAGTTTAGGGTTTAGAGTTGACATTTTAGGGTTGAGGGGTTTAAACTTTAGAGATAAGGGTTTTAAGTTTGGAGTTTAGGGTTTAGGAGTTTAGAGTTCACGGTTTAGGGGTTTAGAGTTTAGAGTTTTGGGGTTTAGGGGGTTAGAGTTTAGGGTTCAGGGTTTAGGGGTCTAGAGTTTAGGGTTTAGGAGTCTAGAGTTTGTAGTTTCGGGTTTAGAAGTTAAAAGTTTAGAGTTTAGGGTTTATACAGTTTAGGGTTTAGGGGTTTAGAGATTAGAGTTTAGGGTTTAAGGGTTCAAAGTTTAGAGTTTAGGATTTACGAGTTTAGAGTTTAGGGTTTAGGGGTTCAGAGTTTAGGGTTTCCCAAAAAACCAAAGCTCGCAAACTGCAAAAAACTCACCAAAAGGAACACGGACTACAGCCGGTCCAACAAAGAGGACAGCAGAACACCTTTTCGGTTTAAAGGGTAACTAAAAACCAAAAAAGCACCCCGCACACGAAGTAAGCTCAATAAACCCTAACTAACCCCTAAACCCCAGACCCTAAGCCCTTTCTCCTAAAATGTCTTCTCCCGCAAATCTGGGCCACCTGCCGCCAGAGGATGGCACAAGCAGGAAGGCATTGGGGCGGCATTGTCAAATTCCATGCAGTTTACACCATGCCTTGAACGTCCACCTTCCGAGTATTGACTTGGGCGGTTCTGAAGGATGACCGTCTTTCTGGAGGAATCGGATGGCGCTCTTGACTGCCCATGAGCGACTCCTGGGAATCCAAAAAGCGCCAAAACTTTACTCTTACTCATGGCTCATGGCTAAGTTACTATCACTTAGAGTAGCGAACGATGGTTATGAAAGGTTTTTCAAACGGACGAAGAAAATAACATCAAGAAAAAGCTGAACATCTCGACTTCGAGCTGAGATACGTTTCGTCGTCCCTAGTATTGACAAAGTAGTTGATCCAATCCTTGACCTGCTCCAAGCTTGGATGATGGGCTGTAGTCAGGAGCGAAAGTGCCTCTTCCTCTCCCTCACCGTACATACCTTCCTGGTTGCCAATGTAACTTGACAAGGCCTTGAACTCTTCCACAGTTGGATGTGGTTCTCTTGTCAACATTTCAATAATGCGGTCGTCGGTACGATAACCATGCAACAAACCTTTCCAGATCTTGAACTCCTCAAAGGTTGGATGATCTTTCTTGAGAACATCGAGGGTTTTTTGGGTTACCTGCTGGGTCTTGTCCCAGCCGTAGTCACCTTCATTGCAGAAGTAGTCTGACCAAGCCGCGAACTCTTCAAAGTTTGGATGATCTTCGGCGAGAAGAATCTCCAGGGCATGCGAAGTTGCGAAACTACGGAAGAAGGAGCCACCACAATGATGGAGGAAGTACTTGGACCAGGTCCGCAGGTCCTTCAGGCTTGGATGCCTGTCCTTTCCAAGAACATCAAGGGCTTCATCGAAGGCATCTGCCATCTTCATATCCCCACCGTTCTCACTGTGCAAGTAGCTCGTCCAGGTCTTGACATCTTCCAAGCTTGGATGATCCTTTGCAAGAGTTTCAAGGGCTTTGGCTCTTGCATCCGCGGAAGGCTCGATGTTGACAACGTTGTAGATGTAGTCAAACCAGGACTTGAACTCCTCAACTGTCGGATGGTTGACCTTGGCAAGCAAGCCGGCTATCCACTCCTTTGCTGGCCAGTCCTCAGAGCAGGCATCCAAGTAGTCGGACCAAGCTTTGAACTCCGACGCTGCTCCATGATTAGTTGCAAGCATATCGAGGGCCCATTTGGTAGCGTAGGAAGGAATCCAGTCAACACAATCTGCGTCTTGTAGAAAGTTCGAAAAGGTCTTGACCTCTTCCAATGTTGGATGATTGGCCTTCTGCAAGATTTCAAGGGCTGTTGCGGCTGCTTTCGCATCCGACATGTCACCGCCATCAACACTCTTCAAGTAGTCAAGCCACTGCTTGCCTTCCCCCTGTTCTAAGGGGCCGGGCTGCTTTATTCTCTCCCCGAGGCTTTGAGAACTCTGAACTGTGAGGACGAGCCAAATGACGGAAAGGGCCATGGCAATCGTGTCCTATGGATTTTGTAGGCAACGACTAATGCTGGAACCAAGCTGCATGGAGAAATCAACGCTTGCCAAGGAACATCAAAAATGGTCTGAGGTTATGATTTGAGCTGGGCTTCGTTTCGTGGTGCTCACAATAATGAAGGGCTCGAAGATTTCCGCATGGCCAACCTGCAAGCCTTAACACACGAAGCCCAAGCCCTGAACACCTAAACTCCGAACCCAAAAAAGGCAGAAACCCTAAAATGCCTGGTTTTCTGCCTTAGAGTCTGAGGCAAGAGCGCAAATGCAGACGCCTCCTCCTGCTTCGCAGGCCTCAGCCCGAGTGTAGCGTTTAGGGTTTAGGGCTTCGGGGTTTAGGCCTTAGATGGCCTTAGGGCAACAAAGCAGTGGGCCCAGGCCTTTTATTTAAGCGCCCGTTTCCTATCCATCAAGGTTGAGGGTTTAGGGTTACTGTAAGGGCTCTACCAGGCCTCTATAATTATAAGGATACCATGCGGGTTACTACGACGGTTGCTTCAACTACTGGTAGTAGAAGGGCATTAGGGCTCACGCATCGTGCAGCGCCGTCCCTTAAGGCTAACACAGAGGGTGTGTGAGGATGACTATATTGTATGGGTTCCATGAGAGTTACTATAATAAATAATGGTTCCATGAGAGATAGAGCAGAAGCGAAACTTTAAGGCAACACTCCAGAAGAAGGCTGCCTCCATTCGGCACCTTACGGACATACTGCATGATTAGGCTGACTGGTCAAGTTAGGTCAGCTAGGTTTAAAGAGGAGGTTGGGGTTCGTCGCTGGACCTGAACAATTCGGAGGTCCCAGGCCTAGGAGCTAAGAGCGCGGCAGCGTTGCATCCACGTCGTTCTCGATTTCATTATCAGACCGTACCCACCTTGGAGACTTGTGCTCTGGCGGCTGAAAGCATCTCTGCAACCGCTTCCCGACACCCACAACTTCGCGTGCTGCCAACTTGAGACGTAAGGACGATGTCAAGAAAACCAACATAGCAACATGAGCTCGGAATGAAGCAGAGCGTCGTCGTGGTTGTTGTCGTCGTCTGAGTCGTTGTTCATAAGGCTAACAGTCTTATTGTAGTAGTAGTAGTAGTAGTAGTAGCAGCAGCAGCAGCAGCCGTCGTTGTCGTCGCGCTCATGGTCGTGACACCAGCGACCCTGAAACATATGCCACAAACTTCGAGTGTCGAGCCCGGAGCTCGAGGTAACCTCCATGGCCTGAGGAGCTGGCAAGACCTGTGGAGTTTCTCCCTGCGTCAGCGCCTCGCCGAAGCTGCGGAGAGACTGAGGCTGAGACAAGAGCGAGCGAGAGAGAGGGAGAGAGAGAGAGAGCGAGAGAGCGGAAGAGCGAGGGATTGATTGGGAGGGAGGGAGCTGCGGCCTCGAAGCAGTGATTGTGTTGCTCTGTTGCCTGAAACTTTTCTGCCACCTCTTAGTGGGGTGCAGGAGCTGTTCATTCGTCGCAGTCATGATGTTCTCAGAATTGTTTTCGTGTCATGACCTCAGCATGGGCTTGGCAACTCGGGTCAGCACACTGGAGTGTGTTGGCATGTCGGTGCGAATTGCCGTTTTTTCTTCCGAAGCATGAAAGCAACCAGCGCAAGTATCGGCACGGAACAACTCACGATTTTGTCGTAGATAGGGTTGTCCAAGTTGGAAGTCACCACATCCTAAACCCTTCGGACCCCTCGACCCCAACGCAGAAAAAGCTGCACCTGTCCAGCTACATCCTGGCTTAGCTTAGTTGCTGAGTTCATAGCCCAAAAGAACAGTACCCCTTCAGTTCTACAAGGGATCAGAATATCCCAAAAAGTGTAAAGTATAGTCATTCAGCTGCTAAGCTAGTAGCGGTCCTGGAGGTCTTCGGGCGAGGCCGTCAGAGCCCCCTGATTGAAGCTCTGCCTCGGAGTTTTGAAGGCCTTTTTGCAGCGCCTTCACGCTTTCACATAAAGGGGACTAGGGTCTATAAGGATTACGAGCTACTGTATCATTTGGGGGTACTACAAGGGACAATAAGCGTTCCATGAGAGGTAGAGAAGCACGACTAGGCTTCTTCGGCGAAGAGTGGCGAAACCTATAAGGCAAGGATTTCGTAGCTCCACACTCCTGTTGGAGGCCGCCGCTCACACCTTCGAGCCTCTCGGCATACTGCATGATTAGGCTGACTGGTCAAGTTAGGTCAGTTAGGTTCGTCACTGGACCTGAACAATTCGGAGGTCCCAGGCCTAGGAGCTAAGAGCGCGGCAGCGTTGCATCCACGTCGTTCTCGATTTCATTATCAGACCGCACCCACCTTGGAGACTTGTGCTCTGGCGGCTGAAAGCATCTCTGCAACCGCTTCCCGACACCCACAACTTGGGTGCTGCCAACTTGAGACGTAAGGACGATGTCAAGATAACCAACATAACAACACGAGCTCTGAATGAAGTAGAACGAGAGCAGAAGCGACGGTAGCTGAACATTTCTCACACTCTAACTCTAATCCATTGCATCACGGGCTTTGATCCTGCAGCTGGTCATGCCCGTGCAGACGTGAACCCGAAACCGAGAACCGAGTATCACCATACTGCCAGTTCTGACTGCACAACATTATGGGAACGCGAAGATATGGAGGAGTAGCTCGAGTGGCTGCCGTCGAACCAATTACACATGAAGGTGCTCGCCATGCTAATGGCAACCCCAACAAGGCACAATAGATTGGGCATGGCAATATGAAGAAGAAACAGCAGCAGCAGCAGCAGCAACACGATAAGAAAGACGAAGGCAGAGCAAGTTGAGGAGTTGAGGCAGAGTAGCGGTCGGCGACTTCGTCGTCGTCGTTGTTGTGGCTGTTGTTGTCTTAGTAGGTTTCGTCCAAGACGTTGTCGTCGCGCTCATGGTCGTGACACCAGCGACCCTGAAACATATGCCACAAACTTCGAGTGTCGAGCCCGGAGCTCGAGGTAACCTCCATGGCCTGAGGAGCTGGCAAGACCTGTGGAGTTTCTCCCTGCGTCAGCGCCTCGCCGAAGCTGCGGAGAGACTGAGGCTGAGACAAGAGCGAGCGAGAGCGAGCGAGAGAGGGGGAGAGAGAGGGAGAGAGAGTGCGAGAGAGCGGAAGAGGGAGGGATTGATTGGGAGGGAGGTCATGTGAGAGCGCGGGCCGGAGATTATCCGAATTCTCTCACCGTTCCGAAGTCCAAACCCACATCGCTCGAGCTGCAGGCAAATCGATCATCCAGTCATCGTCGACAGTGGGAGTTCGGAGGCTGGAACCATTCAATCAACTGGAAACATAAAAGTATTCGCGGTTAGAAAAGATACAAGCAGGCCTAATGACAACGCTAACCGTGGCTGTACAAGACGAAAGCGAAGCAATCATGACAATGCACCGGCCATGGCCGTGCAAAACCGGATGCACTGTAACATGCCTGGGAAGCAGAAACATCATGAGCAAAGCCATCAACTCTATCGTAGTGCGGAAGGGCGATGATACTTTCGATGGCCGTGGCAGTCATAGAGTCATAGACATCATGCTCTTTCGCTGCTTTGTCAAAGAGCTCTCAAACACGATTCTCGGCACTTTCGTCCGCAGTCAAGAAGTTGGGCTTATGGGTTATAGTCATGCTGAGGGTGATAAGGATGATGCCGGTGATAGCTACGATGGCGATGAGGACAGAGAATCAGGTGGCGATGTTCATATATATATATATATATTGGTATTGATGGTGTGGCAAACATCCAGACAAGGACGCGGATGAGGACGAGACCAGGCATCAATATGCTGATGATAGCGGCGACGATGGCTCTGGTGATGGTGAAGATGAAGATGCGGATGATGATGATGATAACGATGATGTCGATGACGAGTATGCCGTGTGGCTGTGCGGCCAGAAAGGTGCGACTCTACTGGTCTCCAGCTCTCTCATCCCTAGTCCCGGAGCTTTCTGCTATCGTGAGTGCTTCCGTGATTGGTCGTTACCGCTCCGGCGGTCCTCATCGTAGAAGTTGTCGCATAGCGGTGCTGGTGGTGCTGGTGCCGGCATTAGAGGGGTGTGGTGTGTGTGTGTGGGTGGGGTGGCAGTCGTGCGACCAAGTGCTCGCCAGTACGAACACACGTAAATTTGCTTAGTGGTGCAGCTAGCAACAGATTATTGTGATCAGAATGATTAGGACGACTTTGATGGTTCTTACCTCATGCTCGTGCTGACGACTGTGATGGCGACTGCGGCGACGATGATGTGTGTGACTCTATGACTTCAGCAAGACGGCAAAACCATGCTGCGCACCAATGGCAATTTCTCTTGCATGGTCTGACGACTAACCGGACCAAGCCCCTAAACCCCAAATCCTAAGCCCTAAAGCTTGCACCCCCAAGCCACGGCTTACTTGCGGTCCTGGAGATCTTCCGGTGATGCTGTGAGACTCTCCCACCCACTGTCCAGCCTCGACTATCAAGGTCGGATAGGGGTTTGATAAAAACGTCTGTCAGCATCCCGATAAGCCCTTTACTGTCGCGCAGCTCGGCCCGGAACGAGACGCGCAGCTGCGCAGGTTGGCCTCGTCACGAATGTGCTCAAGCGAGGTTACGTTGCGATCCCGGGTACCAAGAGAAATCGAGACCGAGCTCAGTGTCTTATCCGCTTTCATCGCAACCCTGTTTGAAACAGACAACGCTGAGGCGACAGCAACGTGAACATGTCAAGCTTAAACAGTGCAACACAAATGCAGTATTCAAAACACATGACGCTGTTAGGGAATTGGGCTAGCCTTAGCAGTGTACACAATGGCGGCAGTAATCGTGTATGTAGCTCCGAGCAGATGATTGTACCTAGTCATCTTCAGGCAAAGGCAGTACAGTCGCGAGTCTTGTTCCTGGCCCCCTGAAACCACGTCTCGCGTCTCACACCGCGGGTGAGAGAGAGAGAGAGAGATAGATAGATAGATAGATAGATAGATAGATAGATAGAGAGATATATATATATATATGTTGAAAGCTG